ACCAGAAGCTGTTCCTGTCTTTAACTCTCTTAGTGTCTCTTTCCATTCTTCTGCTTTGATTTTTTTTTCAAGTTCTGTATACCATTCCTTTCTAATACCTTCTTTCGGTTTGTATATCTCCTTCTACTTTTTTGTCATTGTTTCTAGTTTGGTGTTTCTTTTCCTAAACTGCAACTTATAATGTTCTGCTATATTTATCTTAATCTCTTCTGGTTTTGTTATTAGATATGTCTTCTCTTCTTCTTGTTTGATAAGCCTATTAAGCAAAATCTTCTTGTATGGCTTATTTAGAAGACTGGCAAGCATTTTTCCTTGGTCTGTTTTGATCATTTTACATTATTTATCTATATTTTCTTTTATTTGCCTTCTTTGCATTTGTTCCTAGTCCTTTTTCTTTTTCTCTTGTAAGATCTTCTGCCAACCTTTCATGTCTTCTATCTAGGCCTGTGACTAGTGCCTTTGTACTTTTGGCAGTTTTGCTTCTATCTTGTTGCCTATTGCTTTTACTTGCTCATTTGTTTCAATTCTCTCTTTTTCTGTTACTTCTTGGTCCCTTTTTGCCTTTGCATATTTTATTAATCTTTGCAGCTTTACAATATCTTTTTCTTGTTGTTGCACTTTTCGACTAGTTTTTCTATTTGCCATTGTATTGTATACTCTTTTTTTGGGTATGTGCTTATTTGCTACAGTAATAATTGTCTCTTCTATTGTATCCTATATACTGTTTATCTTGTTTAATTGTTCTTTCTTATTTTGTACTTCTGTTCAAATAATTTTGAGGCTTTCTTTTGTCTCTAGTCACCTTTGTAGTTCTTGTGTATAGTTTTTCTAATCCTCAAGCTTTGCCTGATCATATAAATATAGTATTCTTGATTGTCTTTTCTTTTTAATTTCTGCTTTACTATTTTTTCCCATCATATGTTTGATCCATATTTCTGCAATTATTATTTTATAGTCACTTTCTGTTATTTCTTTTGTTTCTTTAATGTTTGCCTTTTGCAAACCCAGAGCTAATTCTTCTGATACCTAAATATAGTCAATTCTTGTTGCAGCTTTCTTGTTTGACCATGTGTACTCTTGGCTTGTTGGATGCATGTTTCTATATGTATCTGTAAAGCTTTGCTTTTTCATCCAATTAAAGATCGATAATCTTTTAAAATTTGCTGATTGTGGATATTGTCTGTCTATTATATTGTTTACCATATGATTAAAGTTACCCATAATCACAAATTGTGTTTGTCTTTTTTGTTTAGTAACCCTTTCTACGATCTTTTGCTGAATGAATCTTTCTATCGTCTTGTCACTTAGTAGTATATAAATTCCTATTACCACTAGCTCTAATTGCTTGAAATATAGCATAATCTCTATCATATATTCATTTACTCTTTTGACTGCACCCACATGCTTTTCCTATTGTTCTTATATTAGAATTCCTACATCTGACCTTTTTTTCTTATCCTCTGCTGCATTTGTCCAATATCCTATATATCTTTTTTTTACCACATATACTAAAAATCTTTCTTCTCTTTCAACAATGTTTGTTCCTGTGATTCCCAATATTGTAATTTCTTTTTCTTCTGCCCAGTCTAACAGGTTCTTGAATTTCCAACCTTTGGTCTTCAAATCATTGATATTATGACATGCTATTTTGATTTCTTTTCTTTACTCTTTCCATCTTCCTTTTAGTTGTTCTTGTCTTATTTCTGTATTGTCAGTGTTTTTAATCGCCTTTCTTTTTCTTTCTTTCAGATAAGGTGATGCTTCTTTTTCTTTCTTCTCAAACATTCTTCTTTCCTTTTGCAGAAAGGCCTCAATCTCCTTATCTATATTCCTAAACTCAACTAAGGCACCCTTAGGAGCAGTCAGCTGAACCTCCACTTACCTCTAGCTGTATTCCTTCTATTCTATCTAGTCTTTCTAATATTTGAAACAAAACATCTTCTACTGGTAATATTCTTCCTTGATCTATTATGTTCGTTTTGGCCTTCATTTCCTTTTCTATCACTGTCTCTTTCTTTATGTCTGTGTTTTTGTTTCCTAATTATGCTCCTATATCTTGTAACTGCGAGTCACTTTCCATTTTTCCATATCTCTTAATAAGTGTTTCGTGTCTTGTACCTCTGACTCTTGATGCCTCTTGTCTTCTGTAATTCAACTGTCTCTCATTGCTTGACTTTGATCTTTC